ATGTTTAAAATAATAATAATAATAATAATAAAAGATTAGGGGTGCAAATTACGTGCAAACAGTTGCAGTAAAAACTGCAATCAGGATTTACAGCGATGATCCCCAAGCCTCTCAGCTAAACATCGATCGACAGAGGAACTTAATTAGCAGGAAGCACGCCATAAAAAAAGTTGAGCACATCCCGATTATTTGTTTCTTGGAAAAGTAGAAAATCCCGCTTAATTGCAGCTTGTGCTGTGAACCCGCCAGGCTCCAGCCATATTATATTGTCGACAATTACGTATTTATACATGATTGTTGATTACTAGTATGGTTAATAACTAATTAAGATAAATAATATTCTGAATATTTGCTAATTACATAAAGGTTTTTAAACGTGTGTAAAAAGCATACTTAACCTTTCACTTTTTTGTTTTGTTCGTTTGTTTGTTTTATAAAAAAAAAATTGGGGTTTCAAATTGATAAGAAGCATGCTAAAGTGTGATAATTAAAGAATGAATTAGAATGAGTAGAGTAGTTAATTAGATAAATTGTAGCCTAGGAATCCGGTTCAATTTGACAGAGACGAGACCACACGTGCCGAAACATGGAACTGGTCAACATTCAACAATGTCACACTTGTTGGAGCTTTCAAACAACAAAGGTAGAGGAGCCTCTCTTTTTCTCTCCTCACCACTCTCCATATGTTGCCACATATATTCAATTATGTGTCTTGTATTGGAACTACTACTTTTACCTATACCTAGTAGCAACGGGTTTATAGTTTAAGTGATTAAAAGTAATTATTTATTTGTATTCGTATTCGAATTCCCTCCTCCTGATAAACGAAATAATTGATTAATGTTAGCTAGTATTATTTTCAAATGACAAACAAGTAAGTAATAAGGATAACATGGGCTTGCGTGCGGGGACTGACACAAAGAGGCCCGCGTAGTAGGGTGATAAACAAGCACATTTCCCTTAACCCACTTGAACTCTAACCCCAGTTTGGGGACACTATGAGAAAAGACAGTATGGCGTATCTCCATCCCCCCTCCCTCCCTCCTCCCTCCCCAACCCCAGCTTTTTTCTTATGTTTTTTCTTTTATGATAATTTTATTCCTTTTCCTCTCTCTCTCTCTCTCTCCTCCCTCTCTCTCAAACCCTATTAATATCAACCCTTTAGCCCACTTCTTTCTCCCATGCACTTGTCTCCCTCCCTCCTCCTCATTCCTCTCTTCCTTCTGCCCTCCCTCCCCTTATCTGATCTCTCTCAAAAAACACTTGCTACTTTTTTATATAAGTAGAGTTACTGCCTCTCTCTCTATCTCATTATAACTCATTCTCATAACCCATCAGTTTCTCTCTTTACTTCTCTGACATACTATCTAGCTCTCATTTGTCTTTCAGGGTCTTTTTCTTTCCCCTCGTTCTATTCTAGTATTCTCAGTCAATTCAAGTTCCTTCTTCTGACACACCTCAAGCTCCAGTTCATTAACAATGTCAAGCAGAAGATCCTCTCGTTCGCGGCAGTCGGGTACGTCCAGGAATATCAGCGATGAACAGATCACTGATCTCGTATCCAAGTTACAGCAGCTTCTTCCTGAGATTCGCAATAGGCGCTCCGACAAGGTATACATTTATTATTTCTTGTTTTTTTTTTAAAATTTATTTTATTCTCTTTCTCTCTGTATATACTCTGTCAATATTTACATACACAACATATATATATATATATGTGGTCTTTATTTGCTTAGATAATACACACACAGACAGAGGTAGATAAGTCACACTCAAAGCATGCCCTCTCATTTATTCTCTAGCCACAACTTGAGTTGTGGTGTGGGACTCTAAATGTTCCCCATGCCATCCTCACCAGTCCCTCATATATGTTTCAATGTTTTTGACTAAGGCCTTTGCATTTAATTATTATGTATTACTTTGGTCAGGTCTCAGCATCCAAGGTCCTCCAGGAGACTTGCAACTATATCAGAAACTTGCACAGAGAGGTGGATGACCTAAGTGACCGGTTATCGGAGCTTTTGGCTTCAACGGACATGGACAGCGACCAAGCAGCCATTATTAGGAGCTTACTTATGTGATACTTTTGGAGCTTCCTAATTAATCAAATTCAGTAGTTATTAATATTATATTATTATCTTTTTGGCATGAGCCTTTGATCCTTCTGCCTAGCTACCTACCTAGCTAGGGTTTGCTCATTAGGCCAGAAGAAAGACTATATATATATATATATGTTTTATATATATTGCTAGTTTGGAGTTACTCTCCATGTCGATGGTATCGCTTTTTCAGCGACTTGCACTTGTAGCACGTAATTAACTTATATAATAATAAAATGAACTTTTAGAGAGTTCTAATTCTATTTGTGTGATGATTTAATTTACATTTCTGTATATATATATAGCTATTGTCTTTGTCCCTGAATGCGACATTTTTAAGATTATCTATTATTGTTGAATGCGACACCGAATGAAGTCGAAAAGAGAAGAGCTAGCTAGCTACATTGTGATTAATTATTTTTAAAGGATATCGTAATCTCCTTTATTATTTTTCTTGTACTGAAATCTTAGATATATGTGAACCTGTAAAGGCAGCCTTGAGGCTGACAAACATTTGACTTTACCCCACACACCAATTTCTTTTCATCAAACAAAAAGAAAAAAAATTTGGTAACGAGGTTACTCCAAAATGATTCCCCTGAATTCATATTGTACTAATTAATTAGCATGCATTAGGAGGACGACTATCTCATGACTTTACAGGATCTCTGTGTGTTGTCCATTATAACTCTGACTTTCATTGGATTAATATTTGTTTTATTATATTAAGGTCGTCATTACGACAACTCGTTCTTAAAGCATTGTCATGCATGCTTATCCTCAATTATGAAATTTATTCAAAGAGCTTGGCATGGAAGAGATACCTAATTGTTATTATAACTACTTTTAGTTCTATGTGATAAATCTAACCAATTCACATAATCCGTTAGATTTATCGTCTGATCGGACGTTAAATGTTGATGTAGCAATTACGTGACCCACCACATATTGCTGACTGCCCAGTCCAACTAGTCCCGTGAAGGCCATTTATGGAAAGAAAAAACCAGCCCCCAATTAGAGTTTGAAGTTGTTGCCCCCCTTAACCCAACATCAATTCGATAGGAAAATTCTCAAAGCGTGCCCTAACTCCTGTTGCGAAGAAGAAGATGAAGAAATAGTTAGAATCATGGAATGGATGAAGAGGCACCGATGTGTTGGTGTGAAAAGACTACTACAATTCGAACATCTTGGACAAATTCAAATCCTAGAAGGGCATTTTGATACTGCGCACCCAAACCTCAATAGACTAAAATACCATAACAAGTTGTAGTACCATACATAGCCTTATCTTCAGTTTGGTCCACACAATCAAATATTTAAATGGGAGTGTCGAATTCAAGGCCAACTAGAGTGCGGCACTTTAGCCCAAATTTGGCACTTGGTATATATGTTCCTATATGCAATCTGTAATGATGCCTCTCTCTTCCTGTTACAGCATTACAACATCCCTGCAAAAATTATCAATTTGATAACACAACACAAATATGCACGAAAGTTTTAACTCGCAAAACCTGTTAGTGACTCATTAAGAAATCTTATTCATATCATTTGATCATTTTCTTTAAATATTTCTTAGAGACAATGTTAATTATAATATGAAACATATCGTCGTATTATACCTATTTTTCTGGCAAATTGTGTTCATGTTTAGATTTTTCCATCCATTAACTTAACAAATCATATTTGAATTGAGCTACTTTTCATGAGGCACAACGCGAATTCGCAAAACACGTGTACGATTTGCTGAAAATTTCTGTGCTCATGCAAAATGTCGTACAACCAGGTCCAAATTGAAGGCGTCCATGCTCATGATTAATTCCTTTGGTTGTCAACACAAAATGATGAATAAAAGAATCTGGAAAGTTTGATAGCATGAATTGCGTCTTTAACTATTTGGTTAGGCAGTCATTATTAGACTGTTTTCCATTTTCAAGGACCGAATTATGGAATGGTAATATATTTGAAAAACGTGGATAAGACATTACATTCACATGTGTCTTACAACATGCCAAACGTAATTTTTGCAACATAATCAAGGGCGGAACCAGATAGTGAACTGTAGTCCAGTGATGTTTTCTTAGGGAAAAAAAAAAATATTACACCTATATTTTTAGCCATAACTCTCCAATTTTTAAATTAAATTTTTTTGTATTTATTTATTTGTCTCCAAAAGAAAAGCATTCTTTATTATAATGAAATTCACTCTTTTGCGGATAAATATATGGCTCTAATTTCATTGTTCTTTGTGTTAACAACTAATATATGTATGCCAAAGTTAATTATTTATGTTTTTATCTAGGAAGCTTATATGATTGATGCTAATAAATTTTCACGGACTCAACACTACAAAAAAAAGGTGGCAACAATCACCATTATTTGGTGACATTTGATAGGGTGATTAAAGGCTTTAGTCACTAAAACGGCCTTTTTGGTGACTATTTGGTGACTTTTGTCACTTTTTTTTGTAATGCAAACTGCAAAGGTCATATTTAATTCTTATTATGCTAATGGTTAAATTTTTAAATATTTTCATTTTGAATAATGAAAAGTGCTAGGCATGGCATATTGTGTATCATCTCTTTAATCGAGGTGGACCCTATCATATAAAAGCCGCCCATGAATCTTAACAGCCAAAAAATGATAAACTCGTTAACGGATACAAACACGTTCACATTAAATCCCAAATGGGCATGTAATCAACTGGCTCATGATTTAATATGGAGCTAACTTTTAATCTCTTTATTTCCATTTGGTTGAATGGGTTTATGTAGGTTAGTCCAAAACCTACATAGGGCAGGGCCTTGATAATTTTCTAGATTTGGGCTTTATTTGGGATCATTACCTACACTTTTTATTAGGCCCATTTTAACGGGTTTTCTGGGCACAGCATAGAGTCTCTTCTGCTTGGTTGGTTACCTGTTCAAAAATCGGGTACCAGTATGTAACGAGGACACGCAGCACACAGACTCACAACAAATTACTTGGCTTTTTCTACAACCGTAGAACTTCCTCCGCCTTCTCCTCCTTGATAGTTCTTGATCCACAAACAGGTACTGAGCTGCGTCAATCTATGTCCAATTATATATTTGATGAAATGATGTTTGTGTAATAAACCCATGTCCATGATGGAATTGTAAATTGGAAATTTGAAAGAATAGGTTTTTAAAGAGATTTTACTTGGGTGAAATTGCACTAACAGGGTTTCAATCTTATAAGTTTGTGAGATTTTGGCGATCATGAGTTCTGGTGGGTATGCCGTAGAAGTCACGGGCTTGTCTCCCAAAGCAACAGAGAAAGATGTCCATGACTTCTTCGCTTTCTCTGGTTCCATCGACCATGTCGAAATCGTCAGGTTTCATTTCAGTCAATTCTCTAGATAATTATAGTGTTTTTGGTATTTTGTTATGATATGCTTATAATTTGTTTGTTCTGTTTTTTGGGTCAAATTTTTTTGTTCTTGTTGTGGGGAAAAACAGATTCGGTGAATGTGCATGTACTGCCTATGTGACCTTCAAAGATTCGTATTCTCAGGAGACTGCTTGCTTGCTCAGTGTGAGTATTTCTTGGACTCATTGCAACTTTCAATTCCTGCAATCCTTTGTTTCATTATCAAATTCAGATGTAATGCACTCTGCATATCAGCATAATCAACGTAGGTTCAGTCTTAACCTTAGGCGTCTTAGTTGTTTCCTGTCGCGTGTTCTCTTGTTAACATTTGTGTAGAACTTGCCAAATACTTCTGAGGATAATTTATGCTTATATATAGCAAGAGAAAGATAACACCACCCATTCACCTTTTATTTTGTCCGATCGCCACCTTGTGCTCTTGTAGGAATAACTTTGGCAGAAACTAAAGAATTCAGTTATGGGACTTGGATGCTATTCAAATGTAACCTTAGATTTTTAGGCACAGGCTGAATTCGTGGACCTTAACTGAATAGGCTATTGCTTTAATGAAAGATGTTCCAACTTATCATAGTAGCCTGCCCTTGGTTATATCACGTTCTCACCACCTCCTTTGATCTCTAGTTATAAAGTTGTATTGATCATTGTGTGGTTTGGTAATGTAGTTCTTATTGACTTAACCCGTGTACTGCTCATAGTATCGTACTAATGACAAGATGGATAATTGTTCTTTGGTTTCTTAGGGTCTTCATCCTGTTTGATTTGTGAGCTATTCATGCTTTGTCCTTAATCTGTTGTTGTCTCAGGGTGCCACAATTATTGATCAAGCTGTTTGCATAACCCGCTGGGGGCACTATCAAGATGAATTTGATTTTTGGAACAGGCCCAGGCATGAAGAGGAAACTGATTCATCTGTATGCATACTTATCTCTTTCAATTGTCCACAAAATATGGTTGCTGATTTGCACATTTGCGCACACATATAAAACCATTGTTATGAAAAACATTTTGAGAGTAATCCATCCCCATGTCTTGGCAGCATCCACAAGGAAGCCAGAATGTTCCTAGTGCTGGAGAAGTGGTGACTATGGCTCAGGAAGTAGTCAAGACCATGTTGTCCAAGGGATTTGTGCTGGGAAAGGATGCATTGGCCAAGGCAAAATCAATGGACGAGTCTCACCAAGTTTCGGCAACTGCAGCAGCTAGGGTGACTGAACTGAGTCAGAGAATTGGCCTCTCTGATAAGATTTGTGCAGGGGTTGGAGCCGTTAAATCCGTGGATGAGAGGTATCATGTATCAGAGATCACCAAATCGGCCATATCGGAGACGGGAAGAAAAGCTGCAGAAGCTGCAACTGCAGTGGTGAATAGCAGCTACTTTTCTACGGGAGCTCTTTGGGTGTCAGATGCTCTAAGCCGAGCAGCTAAAGCTGCTGCTGATTTGGGCACTCAGAATGTTAGGCAGTGAGGTGTTTGATAGTCATAAACTCTGTTTTTGTAAATATAACAGAAAATTGGAGCCAGTTAATAGTTTGATACCCTTTTGTGCTGATGGATAATGGGTTTACTCAGAAGAAATAGAAAATGTAATGGGGGTAAATATGGTGGTTTGAATTTTTGTTCATTTTTTTCTTTCTTTTAGAGCTTCTGTTTAAATACTTCAATCCAAAAAAAAAACCAAAAGAGCTTCTAGAAGATGACATTATTCTAATACTTAATGCTGAATTTGATTAAACATGTATCGTTTTCTTGAATAATGAATTGGCTTACGTTAATGACATTTACTTGGCAACATACCAAACTCAAGATGAGATTATTATATTGTTTGTCAAACTGAAATTTCAATGTCATTATACGTTTGGAATTATGTCGGCGATCTTAATTTGGACTTAACGTCCAATTAAAGCAACCCAGATTCAAACGGTCCAGATTAAAGCACATCCTTGACGTTCCACCAGCAGAATCCAACGGCCCAGATTCAAAGTCACCTTTCCGTTGATGCTACGCATGGGCTTACTAGAAATATAAACAACTACATGTTTAGGTCCGAATCACCCGGTGGCCCAAAACGTCACTTTTACTGGGCCTTTTTAAGTTGGCGAGGGCCCACGATGTTGATCAACCGAACGCAGGCGCCGAAGTAGGAACCTTCATGGTGCTGCGATGCAACGTAAATCTACCGCTGGAATGCGATCAGAACCATCGCACACCCGCCCAAATTTTTTGACCGACCTGCAAATCTAACACGATCTATCCTTCTCAGTTCCAATGCTGGGGTTCGATCTACATGCGATGACCTAGATCAGCACCGTTTTACAGTTTGATGCGCGGGAAATTGAACTTCTGAGTCGCAGCCATTACTGAGTCACTGAAACCAAGTCGCCATGGCGGGGAAGACGGACTCGGGTTCCATACGGGTGCCGTACAGGAACCTGAGGGAGGTGGAGGTGGAAATGATGGGAACGGACGAGGCTCATCATCGGATCGACCTCAATTCCTCTTCGTCTTCGTCCCCTAGGGTTCTGAATGGGACCGGCGACCTCTCGCCGCCGCCGAGTCAACCCGGACACAAACACAATACTCTCACGACTCTCATTCTCAGCTGTACGGTGGCTGCCGGTGTACAGTTCGGTTGGGCTTTGCAGCTTTCGCTTTTAACTCCGTATATACAGGTTCGATTTTGAATCTGGTTCATGCATACAAATCATTTTTCTGCATTGTGTTGTAATTTTCTTTTTAATTTTAGATTTTAAAGAAAAACGACGCAAAACATTCATCCCATAGTAATTGCAATTAGCTTGGGAAAATTCTATAGGATTGGTAGCGTTTGGTTATAATCGGGGAATTCGAGCCACACGGTAGAACATTTATAGACGAATTTGCATTTTTTGGTTGTTGCTGTGAAGCCTGTAGATGAACATGAAATATATTCATAATCTACATTTGCACAGTGCAGGGGAAGAAAAATGTTCCATTTAATTCACTTTGTAACTCAACTTCATTCAAATTATAAGCTTCATTTTTTGCTAATTAACTTTTAAACATCTCAACTCAATGTAGAAAATAAAAATGAAGTGAAGAATGTAGTGTATGCCGAATATGAATGCATCTTTACTGCTAATGTGCATAGTGTTGTTTGGGGTGATAGTTGTTGTTATAACCAGAATTTCTTTAACTATCAATAATAGCATCATTTATCTTTTCAGTGTGTATTGTTTCTTGCTATTTCATATTGCAATCATGAATTCTTGTGCTAATTTTGGTTTATTTAAAGCTTATGTAACTTCTTTGGGTTAACTATCCTCTGTTTTGACTTATTGTTGCAGACACTTGGAATAGGGCATGCATTTTCTTCATTTATTTGGCTTTGTGGCCCTATAACAGGCCTTGTGGTAAGTGATGGCAGCTAGGACAATTTTGATTGTAACATATATGTCTTAACACTTATGAATCATGCTGGGTTTTTTTTGTTGGGACACAACCGTATCTCCTAATGGGGTGATTCAAAACTTACCTACTATTGGTGCATGCATTCATGAATTTATTGGCTATGGGAATATTTTGTGAGGTTCAGCGATGCTTGGAGATTAGCCTGACCATTAAACTTTTGGGCCTTTTAAATCGTGGCCAGGCCTGCCATGTAAATATTTTTGCTGGCCCACCCAAATGCAAGCGTGGGTCGGTTACTAGTATTATATGAAGAGATATTTAGTTATATACCTATTCTTAGTACTAAAACTATAAATAAATCATACACCATTTAATTTCTATAAACAAAAAAAAAAAAAAAAAAAACTCAAACAATCATAGTTGGCCCTATTGAATTTAATTTTGATTATTAAATTACTTTGATGCCCTATTGAGTGTTTTGAGCTTTTTTATGAGGTTTTGGGGTTGTGTTTTGAGCTTTTTTGTGAGGTTCAGGGTTGAAGCTAAATGGATTTATTTAAACATTTTCTTTCCTTATGTTGTATCAACTTCTATTTTCTTAAGGTTCAACCTTGTGTTGGTATTTGGAGTGACAAATGCTCTTTAAAATTTGGAAGAAGGCGCCCCTTCATTCTTGCAGGATCTCTCATGATTTCAGTTTCTGTAAGTACCAAATTTTTGTACTTTTCCCTTATGCCTTTTAATTAATTTCATGCCTTTATTTGCTAAACTAAGTCTTGTAATTTAGGTGGTGTTAATCGGGTTTTCTGCAGACGTTGGATACTTATTAGGAGATACAAAGGAGCATTGCAGGTTTGTGTTGCCTTCTGGTGATTCTTTGTTTTTTATATTACAAATATTCATTTACTGTTAGCCAACTCATTTGAGGAAATGCAGCACATTCAAAGGTACCCGGACAAGGGCAGCGTTTGTATTTATTATTGGGTTTTGGTTGCTGGATCTTGCCAACAATACAGTGCAGGTAAGCCTTCTAAGACTATTAATGTGTGCATTTTCATCACAACGTAAAAAGAGCACACTATTGTTTTCCAATGACGAATAAAATCGTACTGTTATTGTAATGGTCTTTATGTCTGAGCATCAAGTGGACCTTGTAATTTTTGTAGGGACCAGCTCGTGCTCTTCTGGCTGATCTAGCAGGTGACTCTCTCTCCAATCTATTATGGAACTGGTCACATTTATTTCTAAATGTTTTTGAATTTGTGAATCTAAAGTACATGATACTTTCTGTGATTATTATGTTTCACGACTATATTCTAGGCCCTGAACAACGTAACACTGCAAATGCTGTGTTTTGCTCATGGATGGCCGTTGGTAACATCCTAGGATTTTCTGCCGGTGCAAGTGGAAGTTGGCACAGGTGAAACTCCTCAAATATGTTTTTATCTTTTCGTAATTGAATATTTACTTCAATATGATTTTAAGGTCCTCATATATACTTCTGAATACCCTTCCACTAAACCCTGTTTATAACATTTTGCCTTCTGAACCTAATCCAACTTTTAGTTTGCACTCTCAGAAATCTTCTTCTTTTACCAAAATTGTAGACTCACACTTAACAATTCAACTTCTACAGGTGGTTTGTTTGTCTGACTATTTGTTTCTTGACAGATGGTTTCCTTTCTTGTTGAGTAGAGCTTGCTGTGAAGCATGTGGAAATCTTAAAGCCGCATTTCTTATTGCAGTGGTGAGTTATCAGTAAGCACGGAAGTGCACGTATTTACGAAGTCATCTTCTACAGTTTGAATCATACTAATTTCACTCGGATGCTGAATGATTGACAATTCTGACAGTTGCTTTAAGACATGTTTTTTTCTCGATGGTGTCCATACATCAATTCATAAAGTTGCTGAAATTTTCATTTAAACATCTTCTTGATCACGTAGAGTTGTTCATTAGTTCATTTTACTTTCAAATGAGAATTCAAATATTGCAGTTTGGAGCTGGGGGAATTGTGTGGTATAAGCTACTCTATACAACTCTAGATAATACGTCTGATATGTGTGCAGCTCTTTCTCACTTTGTGTACGCTTGTTACCATATATTTTGCTGATGAGGTTCCACTAACTACGCATGAGCCCAACCGTTTATCGGATGCTGCTCCTTTATTGGAGGATCCCCAACAAAATGGCCTTGATCTTTCAAAATTAAAGCCTGATAAGCAAGTTATAGATAATGCAAATCAAAGCAGAACTGTGAATGACTATGAAAGGGATATACATGTAAAGGAGGCCATCTCAAAAGTTGACGAAGATAAGAATGGTGGTTTTAATGACGGACCTGGGGCCGTTTTAGTCAATCTATTGACCAGTTTAAGGCATTTACCACCAGCAATGCATTCAGTGCTCATTGTTATGGCTCTTACCTGGGTACGTGCCAATGTTATTATGATTCCATTTCACCTTTTTAAAATAGCATTTCGCTAATTTCCTGTTTGTTCATATTTGATATTATTAGGATTTCTTAGTGTTGGTTGCCATTGTGAGGTTCTTCTATAAAGACTTTTCGTTGCAATCATAATCTTACATGCAGTTATCCTGGTTTCCATTCTTTCTTTTTGATACGGATTGGATGGGAAGGGAAGTATATCATGGGGATCCAAAAGGGAGCTTGTCCGAAGTACATGCTTATGATCAGGGTGTCAGAGAAGGTGCATTCGGTTTATTATTGAATTCAGTAAGAACTCAAAGTTGGGAACCAGTACTTGACTTCCAAAAGTTTTCTTACCTATTTTAAATTTTAGTAAGGATCTATTTCATTAATGAATGTGCTAATTATCTTGCCACTAACCTTTTGATTTAAGCTTCTCTTTATCCGGGTGTAGGTTGTTCTTGGCATCAGTTCTTTCCTAATTGAGCCAATGTGCAAGCGGATGGGTTCAAGACTAGTGTGGGCATTGAGTAATTTTATTGTGTTTGCCTGCATGGCAGGCACTGCTATCATAAGTTGGATATCTGTTGGAGAATATTCTAAAGGGATTGAACACGTAATTGGGGGGAATAAAAATATCAGGATTGCTTCCCTGGTTGTTTTTGCTCTTCTTGGCTTCCCTCTTGCTGTGAGTATTAGTGTGCTTTTAGTAAATGTCTATTTTCTTGTATTGCTGCCCCAAAAGTATGCAGGCACTCATTTGGTTGTGTGTTACAGATTACCTACAGCGTTCCCTTTTCGGTTACAGCAGAGTTGACTGCGGAGGCAGGTGGTGGCCAAGGTTTGTATTGTTTTTAGTTTGGATCTAGCATCTCCTTTCTCTGTGTTACTGAACTTAGGTGATTAAGATTCTCAAGTATTTTTACTGTTGTGCAGGACTGGCTATTGGAGTGCTTAATCTTGCAATTGTGGTTCCACAGGTAGTTAGGATGAATTATTACTGTTTTATCCCTATTTAGTTTAGCACAATTTTGTAATGCCGCAACTTATTCTCTGTTTGATTTTTTCTTTCTTTTGTGCGATCACTTTGGTCAGTTCATAGCGTTTTTCCCTTTTTCTTTTAATTTGATGATGAGTGCTGATTTCATGTGTTTTTTGTTGAATTGTTCAGATGATTGTGTCTCTTGGTGCGGGGCCATGGGATGCTTTATTTGGGGGAGGAAATATTCCTGCCTTTGTCTTGGCTTCCTTTGCTGCCCTTGCTGGTGGCGTTTTCGCAGTTCGCAGGCTACCAAACCTTTCGAGCAATTCTTTCAAGTCAACTGGTTTTCATTTTGGCTAATGACAAAAGCAGCTCATCTGTTTGGCAAATGACAAGAGGAGCACATCAGATGATGACCACCCCGGGTGCCGTATACGATTCATACCAACCAGACAGGAGGATTTGCTCTCTGAGGGATGGCTCTGGCATTTTGCGTATGTTCACTTACCAACAGAATTACTCCTTCCGTATTCAAATTCATTCATTTTTTTTCCCCACTTCTTGTGGGTATCTGTATTCTGTACCCTATGTAGAGTGTATATTGTCGGTTACTAGGAAAAGGATATACATGCAAATAATGCTAAAGTTTAATGGTCACTATAAAAAAAATTGTTCATCCCTGCGTCGTCGTCGATGTACTAGAACTGATTTAAGTATCAACATATTTTAGCTTACTGGGTTAAGAGGCTCTTAGCCATTTTCAAAATTGTATATAATTTCATGTGCATGGTTGTTTTTAAATTTTGGGGTATATTATTTAAACCTAGTTCCTCTCATGCACGTAAATTATTATGTTAAGTTAACGTAATTAATTGTTGATATATTGTCCACACGTTCCGGACTATACAATTGATATATTGTCGCTCTCAGCCTGTCTCACCTTGCGGTTTACATTCTGCTGTTTTTGGACAATTTGGGACGTTGCAGGAAGCTCTGTTTAAATACTTTTGTCATGACATTTTTATAAACATGGCCTATGGCTGGCTATGGGTTCCATTGGTACCCAATATTGCTATAGATTATAATAAACTAGAGCATTTTTCATAAGTAGCACTAATTGTTCCAAAAGAGGTACCATTTGATTTATGATATATACAAGAATTAGAAGGAAATAAATCCGATTATATGATAATTATAATAAAAACTAGATGTAGGTAGGTCGGTATTAGTCAAATCACCCTCACTCTCACCCTTCCACTTCTGTTGAAGATCCTCGCGCTGGAGAAAGAAAGATCAACAGAGTGCTGGACTGCGGCCGCAAATGCACATCGTTGTCCATGCAGTCTCTCATATCTCATATCATATTCTTGCGTCTCAAACCCACTCAGTTATATGTTTCTCCTTATTATATGGGGTTTTCAATTTAGTAGTGGTATTAATTAATTATTGTTTAAATAATAACTAAACCTAGCTAGGCTTTTCTGTGCATGCATGCATTCATGCAATGGCAAATTGAATAAAGATAAATCGCTGTGCGCCATGCCCAAAATCGGTTGGCCTGTCTAAATCATGCCCTTACATCTTTTACACTCTAGCTAGCTAAGTACAGTTTAATTCAATTAATTTCTTTTATTTATTTATTTATTTATTTTTGGTGAAAACCAAGGTATTCCCCGTGCGATTGCGGGGACTAACCCTCGAGGTACTGTCGGGCGCAAAGCGGGGACCCCTCCCAACAAAGTCTGCTCTATTCGCAAGCGCATGTGATCGAATCCAGGACCTCTTGTTTAAAGGATCCAACCCCCTTTCACTTGGACCAACTCCTCCTGTTGGTCTTTTATTTATTTATTTATATACAAGAAATAGGTGGGATTTATTTGTTTCTTTGTTTCTCTTTTTCCGCACCATCTTTGCCCCCTCCAATTTAACTCTCACGTCAGCATCATCAGCCTATATCAGTTCAGTGTATCACTTACGAAATTCCAGATGATGGGTCCTGCAGCAACGGATGGCTCCGATGAATCATGGGAGGCCCCACCTCACCTCACTCACTATATCAGAAAGATAAAGCCTAAACATGTCCACTCCACGACCTACCATCGAGCTGGGAGGTAAATAAATAAATTATTTCAACAAAATAAATATAAATATCGATGTTGTTTTTTTATATAAAAATATAACTGAAGCATGAGTGGTTGATGAATCACTATCAACGCATATCTCCTTGCCCAAAAGCAAATCCCTGAAAAACAATAACAAATTCAACAAAATTTTAAAAAATAGAAAGAAAAAACCTCTCAATTTTAAACAGTTAAGAAAGATTTTTATAATTGGAGTGAGTGACGTGAAGCAATGCAAGGAAGGGCACATGAACACACCAGAAGCCATGAGCGCATGTGGAGAGGAGAAGATTCAGCTCATTTTTTTAATCAACACTCACCAAGTTTGTTATTATTATTTTTTTCTTTCATTCTTTTCTGTGAATTAAAAAATATATATGAAAAAAAAGGAAAAACAAAAATGGGCAACAGATAGATATAGCTAATGTCCTGAGCCTAAGGAGTGAGAAAGGAACATGGATCCACCCCATTCCATTGGATTTGGGGGCACACAGCACACTCTGCACAACTAAATGCTAATAGAAGGCATGTGATTCAGCTTAAACCCTCTTGTCTTTGCCAAATGTTAAAGCTGTGTATATGGTATTAGTGGGACCTCCCCGTGTCCCTTCATCACCAATATTCTACAATACCAGACGCTCTTAATTTTATGTGATTTTCAACCGTTGATGCATTATAAATTCTACATGCACCAACGGTTGCTCACGTGTAAACAACTATATTCATATTTGTTCCAACGGTAAACGACTATATTCATATATAATATATATATATGAGTGATTTTCAACCGTTCATGTGCGCAACAGTTGCTCATGTGTAGACGAAATCCTATATCAGAATTCAAACTGATCCCCTAACAGAAAAAGGCTGCTGGTGATTTCTTCATCCAAAGCTCCGCTTGACAACTTCACACACCTCTCCACCATTCTATCAAATTAAATAAACAGCCGCCTCGGATATACCTTACCTCCATATCTCCATAACTCCATCTCCATCTCCATCTCCATGCGTGTAATCTACTGTTTTATTAATAGCTAGCAAAGCAAGCAAACTACTTTGAGAAGTACTTTTTTTTTATTCTTAGTTGCAGATGAAGATTACCAATGAAAAGTCGGGGTTGTATGATTGCACCCATGAATAGGTACCAAAAATCATGTCATTTAATCACTTGAATGACGTGTGATCGGACAATTGTGAAGCAATTTGTGTGCGTGTTGAATATTTATGGCCAACGTAACAAGTTTTGGATTAACGGGACCTTATGGTTGGGGATACTTTAGTCTTTTCATGGGGTCCCCTGTTTCTCTTTGATTACATTTTTATGCTAGAGCCGGAGAGCTTCATAGTTTCTGATCAATAATAGAAATGAACTAATAGTCAAACACATGTAGCAAAGCTAGCTAAACTAGGTAAACCATTCATTCTTGTAGAGGTAGCCCCTACTCTGCTCTGTGCCCTTTTTCTCTTTTTTGCCTTTTGTGAGATAATGCATAAAAGAGCAAATGTTGCTGCATTTTTTTCCCATATTAACTTTGTCACAGAGGTCCTTTCACCATATGATGTGATTTGATAATACCTCCTTTAGGCTTTTAGGCTTCAAGTTGACAAATTATACAATGCAGCAGCCCCCACACCAAAAATGTCCAGCAAGGTCATGATTTATTTTCTTGTTCATTTCAAGTTTTATCCAATGAGAAAAAAAAGACAAGGGTTGGATGATTTTGCAACTGTGTTCTGCAAAATCATAAATACCTTACAGTGATTTTAATATATTGATCACTGAATTGAAGAGGTGTATATATACACTGTGGAGGGATGATGACATGTGCCATTTGGGAATTGAGGTTGGTGTGACAGAAGAACAGAGGAGAGAGGAGCAGTGGGATATATAGACAGAGATGGAGAGATGGAGAGATGGAGAGATGGACACAAACATATATGCATATGCATGGGTGGGTGCGCAAGGACAAAAAAAGACCAGCTCTAGTAGGGTTAATGACAACAGCCTTTGCTTGGGCTTTTCAAACCCATTAGTTTTCTCTCTCTTTCTCTTTCTCTCTCCTTCACATAATCTTGCATTGCAAATTGCAATGCTGCAATGCCCACAGTAAGAGGCATGAGGAGGAGGGTTGGACACTTGGGCAGAGAAGTAAGTAACTGATGGAAAGAAAAAAAGAAAGGATAAATGGATGATGGGAAAGAGCTTCGTCCTAATCCACGATGCCTGTTGGTGGGTTAGGTAGCAAACCCTGCCCCCCGTCATTGGACCCATCCCCTAGATTCCTGCCCCCTCTCTCTCTCTCTCTCTCTCTCTCTCTCTCTCTTTCTGGACTTAAAGATACAGCCAGCCAACTCATTTCTTATTTTTCTCTTGCAAGTAACCTCTTTTTTCTTCACATGAATTAATCAGTCACTCATATATTCTTTGTTCATTTTTCTAATACAATACAACCCAGAAAGTCTTTCACTTTTTTATAGGACGCCCCCCAGTGTTCCCAACCAAACCCATCTGAATGCTCTGATGATTTTGTGATATTTTTACAATGATTTAAGGGCCATTTCTTTTGTGTCCAAAAAGAGGGACATTTCTTTTTTGATCTCCAATTCACCCACTTCACATTGAAAGAAGCATAAACATGAACCACCTGTGCTTTTTTACTTTCGTTCACAATGGAATCAATCAAGCTAGTTGAAAAAGCACCCCTTTGCATTTCTAAAATTAATCTTTAAAGACAACTGTCTTCCTTAAGAAAATAATCACTATCTTTTGTCACATCCCTCATTTAAATTCTTCTATTCAAATTGACCTAAGTAAAAGTATGACATATTGTACACTCACTTACATGAGAAAGACCAAAAAGTCTTTATTATTGCTTTTTATAAAGTAAAAATAAATAATAAAAAATCAATCCTAGCTATGAGAATGCTCATATAAAAAGAGAGAAATCCCATCCTACAAAGAGAAGTATATCAGAATCATACACTCTCTCCATTCCCACAGCGCTCAAAAGATACTGTGTATGTGTGTATATATATATAGAGAGAGAGAGAGAGAGAGAGAAATACATAAATTCCTAGAAGCTGCTGATAAGGTATATAAGCCATCCATTGCAATAATCTGTGCATCCCCTTCCATTTGAAGAAATTCATATTCCCTTTTGATCTTCAGCAAAAGATTTCCTTTGTCATAAATTAAGTCTTCTTTTGCTTCACCAACAGATAGATTCTGTGCCACTTCGAGCCATCTGCTATCTTCTTGTCACTCTTTTAATATGAAAGCCAGATCATCATCACAACAGTTCTTAAGATTGGTGGCAGGAGCTTAACTAAGTCATGACGGGCAATGGGATGGCCTTCTTCTCAGCAAATTTCATGCTTCAAACCCCTCACGATCATGATGACCATCAACCTCCCACTTCTCTCAATCCAATGTTGCCTTCCTGCACACCTCAAGATTTTCATGGTACTCTCTCTCTCTCTCTCTCTGTGGCAGAAAAACAAATCTTTATCCTTAATGGCCTTTATTAATTTGTGGTGTTTTGTGCAGGTGTGGCATCATT